ACCCCCTCCACTCCCTGCCCTCAAAGGGTGTTATTCTAGAAAAGCACAACTAGATTATCTGGGGTAAAGGATTGTGTTTTATCCCTTAGGAGACGCACAAATCCACCCTGGTCCAGAAATTGGGCAGCCGTGTGACCAGAAAGGCACACACGTGTCTCTAAGAAGACCGCAAGGCCTGCTGAGTGTCTACCTGAAAGACAGAGGCTTCCGGAAAGAGCCAGCAGGCGGAAGGCTGCTCAGTGGAGAGACCACGGATAAAAATCTTTTATGAGCAGTGAGTGAGGAGCAGGGAGCTGGGACTCTGAGCAAACACTGCAGGACACCAGCACGGGGATGGGGTGAGACAGTAAGTCATCGTATATCACGGACAACACGAAGGTAACGAGAACTCAGCTGAGCAGCTGTGCAATGACATTCTCTGAGGCCTCGCGGCCCGGCAGGATCACGGGGAGTCTGGCTAGAGCCTGAGAGAGGAGAATCCAGGCACCGTCCTCAGAGCCCACTCCCAGCCGGGCAGTGGTGTCTGCTCCCCCGTGCGCTGTCATGTGACACTGACTTCTAGGACGTGGTCGTCTTGGCTGGGGATGACGAGGACCTGCGTGCCAGAGCTCGAGTTGAAGACCTGGCCGGCCGGCAGCGCCTGCAAGCGGGGCATGGGCAGGCCTTTGTGTTCGCTGCTGGAGGCCGAGTGCGCGCTGCCCCTGCTCTTGACGCTGCTGCTGTCCAGCTGGTCGTCCCCGTGCTTGTCCACCGACAGGCTGTCGTTTTCTATCCAGCTGTCTGCAAAACACACGGGACGTCAGACTCAACCCTCGCGGATGCCCACCTCAAAGTGCAGGAGACGTCACCGAGGAGGCCCCTTTCCAGCGGATCCCAGCACACAGGCTCAAGCTCCAGGGTGGGCACCTGGACTTCGAACGGGCACACAGTTTTGGTATCATTAGCAGTCTGCAGACACCGAAGCAAGCTCTTCTCGGCCTGCTCCGACTCTGGTTTATCCCTCTCCGCCCAAAGCTGTCTCCTACCCAAATAACGAACTTACACTTTTTCTGAGGAAGTCCTTACCGGCATCCAGCTGAGAGGAGTGTGCAGAGTGGTGGGGGAGGTACTTAAACAGCCTGACATCGGGCAGCGGGAGGTACCCCGCAAACAGAGGCATCACTTCCATGTGGACTCTGTGGGTGGCCTGAGCAGCCACTGGCATGGAGATGACACCACAACTTTTCCCGCACACGGCCCAGTTGCTACTATTGTCGACAACTGCAACAAAGAGGAAGCCACTGTTTACCCCAGGACAGGCCACTCGGGAGTCACACCAAAATAAGAACCATCAGTGACTACTCCTTAGACACTCGAGAGTGTAGAACCCAGAACTGGAAAATATGTATCTCAATGTCTTGCAACTGCACCTTAAGATAAAACCCGTATATTTTAATCACTAAGAAACGTATTTCTTTTAATCCAACATTCCATTAGTTCCAGTTTAGGCTGAGTCATGTCAGATGCATATGGAAAGCTGCATTTTTCTCCGAAATTAATAAATGAAAAATGATGATTTAATTTTGATTTGAAATCTCCTTGCAAATTTTGTGTGCAATTTTTCAAAAGCATGGCGACTTCGGCTGTTAAATCAGGAGCAGGTGGCGGTGCAGCGTGCTAGCTGCATTGGTAAGTGGCGTCACCAAAGACCTGTGGGTCTGAATCCCGACTCCGCCGCCAGGACAGCCCTCCCAAGGCCTCCAGGCTCGATTACCCCAAGGCGTGGTGACACCACCGACCTGGAGCAGCTGCTTCGAGAGGAGGGAAAGAGACGTGGATGTGAAACGTGCAGCACCACTCCCTGGACTGGGCGTGTTAATACACGGCAGGTGTCAGTGCTAACCCTAATTATTAACACACAACCTTCGTCTAGTTCAAGGCAATTCACATGCCAAGTGAGCATTCATTAGGACCAGCCCTGGAGAAACGAAAGTGAGCAGGACAGGATCCTGCCCTCAGGAAGCACGCGACCTGGCAAAGAGGTCACAGCTTCCTGTCATGAGGACACCAGCAATAGCCCAGGACCTGTGAGACCAAAGGGCCATGAGCAGGAGAGAAGAGGGTCACAGAGGGCGGGCTTCCTACTGGTCGGGATGGGGACTTTGAGGACAGGTGGCACTCCAGGACACACAGAGGCCCAAAGCAGAGTCATGAAGGAGGCAAGGGAGCAAGAGTTCTCCCGACGGGGCCCTCGGGGCACCCACGAGCTCGAAGCAGGTTTCACGCCGCTGCCTTTCCGAGTGCCGACGGCACAACGGCGGCTGGACCGAGGAGTCAGCCTGTGAGCAGTGACGTCGACCACATTCTTCACTACCGTGGACTCATAGCAAGAAAGTCGGTTTTACTTAAAAATGTCCTTCATGAAGCAGTCAAAATTAATTTTATTAAATTCAACTGGAGTATACATCTTTTCCATAAATTTTTAAATGTTTACAGATTCACAAGATGTTGCAAAAATAGTAGAGAGGTCACATGTCCCCCATCACCAGCATCCCCCACTGTGCCATCCCACCTAACACAGGAAGCTGACACTGGCACAACTATCAACTAGACCACACCCCCCCCCGGACGTCACCAGCTGTGGCAGGCACTCGCCACTGGGGTAATAAGTCTCTGTGTGTAACTCAATGGCACCTGCCACGCGTGTAGATGCCTGTGACCACCACCACGGCCCACGCACAGAACTGCCCGTCACCACAGACAGCCTCCTGCTGCCTGCCCCAGCCCCACCCTGACCATCCACCACTGACCCCCTCTCCTTCTTTATAAGCATGGCACCTGGAGGACTCACACAGAGATGGAATCACACAGAATGCAACCTGACAGGACTGGCTTTTCCACTTAGTATGAGGCCTTCAAGAGCCATCCACGCCGTGACGTTTATCAAGAGCTCATCCTGTCTCAATGCTGAGTAGGAGTCCACTGTGCAGACCTGCCAGTCTGTTTAACCGCTCTTGAGCTAAAGGACACGTGGGTTATTTCTAGCCTGTAGTACCCATCATCATCATCTTCTTCTTTTTTTTTTTTTAGGGTAGAGACAGGGTCTGGCTATATTGCCCAGGCTGGTCTTAAACTCCTGGCCTAAAGCGATCCTTCTGCCTCAGCCTCCCAAAGCATCGGGATTATACGCGTGAGCCACCGCTTCTTGACATTCTCTGTGAGTGTCCCCACGGCAGTGTAACAGCTGGCTCGAGGAAAGCGCCTGTGCAGTCCTCTGTGCTGTGGGCTGCACCAGCCTTCGTTCTCACGAACACCCTTTTCTCTGGAAAGAATAACTGGCAAACTGATGTTAGTCAGTCCTGGGTACTGGCAGACATTTTGCTGAAAATGAATGATGTGTGCCTGTCACTTCAAAGAAAACAACCAAGGTCCTTGTTGCCAATGATGCAATTTGAGACTTTAAGCAAAAATCAGAATTTTGGAAAACTTGCCTTTGCCACTGTGAGCCTGACAGGGTCCCAATGCTCAAAGACCATCCTAAGAGATCAGCACGAGTTTCACAAATGGGCATTTTGGATATTGTCAGATAAAAGATGTCCACATATGGAAGATCTGCACAACTCAGGAAACCCAAATGACCAATTACAAAATCACATCTGGGTAAAGGATCCATTCAAAATGCAAGACAGGCCACAGGGTCCGACGACAGTGAGTACAGGTCCATTCCTGTGACTTTAGACTCTCCTACTCATCAAGTTTTGGTGTAGTATCAAAGGACAATGTCCGCAATAATCTGACAGGTGTTAAAATAGTCCTCCCTTTTCCAACTATAAATCTCTATGAGGCTGGAGTTTCTTCATATGCTTTATACCAATATAACATTATCACCTCAGACTGAATGCAGAAACTAGCTATGAAAATTCAGATACCTTCTATTAAGCTAGATATTATAGAGATTTGAGAGACTACAAAACAATGTCATCCTTCCATTATTTTTTGTAAGAAAACTTTTGCAAAAAAGTTATTTTTCATGAATACTGTCATGTAATGGGTTTTTTGTTGTTGTTTTAAAGTAAATTAATAAATAAATGTTTGGCTCCTCAATCATTTTAGAGCATAAAAGGTGCCCAAACCAAAACCTCCGAGAACGCCAGGCGGAAGCAACAGAGCTCTGAAGAAGGCAGGCTACGGGGCCTGGAGAGAAGGGGAAGTAGGGGGAGCCCGGCACTGAGGGTGGGAGAGGGAGGGGAGCCTGGGCATGTGGGGGGCCCCATGCGTGGGTGGGGAGGCTGGAGGGAACGGGGGCAGGAGGCGCGACCGCGGAAGCCTTGACTGCAACGCAGTGGAGTTTGAACTTCGGTCAGGAGAAGTGGAAAGATCCCGAATCGCGCGCCGGGTGGAGAGGGCGTCTCTAAGGGCCGCTGTATTCTCAGCGCTGAGCCCGGCAATTGCTGGGTAAATACTAGTACAAACGCTCCACAATAACCAAGTTCAACATCTGGTGAGCTTAGGACCTTGTTATATAATGAAACTATTAAATCAAACAAGCTCTTTTAACTCGAGAATAATCTCTCTTTAGATAAGGAACACTACATTTGTGAAAGGCAGGGAACGCTCACTTAAATGCTGGATTATGACAGAAGGTAGGAAAAAAGAAGCCTCTAACCTACCTTCATACATCAGCTTTGTCGAGAAATAGTCTTCAGATTCTGTCAGCGCGTCGTCCTTATCCACCTCCAAGAGGTCCGAGAGCCGCGTGATCGACACCTCCAAGGAGCAGAGCGAGCCTGTCCTGCAGTATTCCGTCCCCGGAGGGGGGAGTATCTCAGCCTTCACGGTATACAAGGTCTAGGCAGCAGAGGAGGAGAAAAGTTCCAAGGAAGTGTACCTGAACAGCCTTAAGAAACACAACAGAAGGCAAACGCGGAGCTGCCCACAGGCCTGGAGCCCTGAGGAAAGACATCTGCCAGCCTGGCCGGCAGAAGAGCAACTGTGGCCGCTTGCTCTCAAGACCCCGCTGCAGACACGATGCTCTTGCAGCCCAACTCTAGGGCCTTAAAACCTTTTTGTAAGTTGTGGATACTTTCAAGCTTAAGAAAAATGGCCAGCATGGTGACCTCCACAAGCCCATGACCCAGACCCAGACTGTCGACACTCTGCTCCACTCCAGTGACCTTTGACCTGCATCGCTGTACCTGCCTGAGGTGCCTCAAAGCAAACTTGAGACAACCTGCCATTTCAGCCCATAACTTCAGTATGCACTGCGAAAAACACGGACATTTTCTTACCCAAACACAGTGCCATTACCACAACTAGCAAAATTAACATGAATTCCTTGGTGTCACCCGATTCAGTCCACAACCTCTCTCTCCGCGTCTCCCTCTCCATCGTCACTCTACGCTCAGTGGCTCCTCACACATGCTGCCTTCACCACCACCACAACCAGCAAAGCTCAGACCACCTGCCGCCGCACAGCCTGAACAGGGCTCACCCACCACACGCCAGCAGTTTCACTTCTAAACTCAGCACTCTTCCATTTCACACACCTATAAAACGATTACAGCACAACTTGATTTAAAAGTGTTCTGCTGGTATTGTAAAATGTTCAAGTAAGAGATTTCCGAATATAAAGCGTTTTTCCAAAGCCTGATGCCAAAATAAAACATTCTTCCAGGCGTTAACAGAGCTAACCAATAGTCCTTTCTAGGCGATTTTCCTATCAAATTCCCAATTAAAACTGTTCCGAGATGGTACAAACTTGCACCAATCTGAAAAGGGGCCACGCTGGGATTTTCCAGGGCACAGAGGATGCCCGAATACGCAGATGCCCGTGTGTGCCTGCCATCTGCCTGGAGCGGCACCCTTCAGGCCCTAGGGGAGCTGAAGCAGGGGCAGCGAGAGGAAGGAGAAAAGTGACCGCGAAGAGTGGCGACTCAGCTGCAGCTCTCTGAGACATCGCCTCCACTCCGGCAGCTCCCAGAGGGAGCAGCTGGGATGCCTGAGCCCCGCAAAAGCACCAGTGCAGGGTCAGCATTAGTGTGTGGAGGAGTCTGCTCGGGAGTGCGCGCCCTCGGACACTGCCTCTGCCTGCGCTTGGGGAGGGGCGGCTGAGGGAAGGCGCTGCACCACAGGGCAGCAGTGGGCGCCCTCACCTGACAGCAGCTGTCGGGGCCACAGGTACAGTGACCAGAAATAACAAGAATCTTCAGACAAAAACTCTAACGTTTGTGAACGACTGACCTCCAACGAGGGTGCCTAGACCATCGAGGGACAAAGCAGCACAGGGACGGCGACAAGCCACAGCAGGAGGCGAGCGAGGACCCCACTCTCCCCACACACAGACTGACGCAGAGGGCACCGCAGACCTGGATGCAAGTGCTGAAGCTATGAGCATCTTAGAAGAAAACGCGGGAGGAAATCTTTTTGACCTGGGATTAAGTGATGATTTCTTAGATCCAAAACCAATAATTGAAGCCACAAAAGAGAGACGGAAATTGGACTTCACCAAAATTGAAAACTTTTGTGCTTCAAAAGATACCATCAAGAAACTAAAAAGACAACTCACAGAATGGGAGAAGATATCTGCAAATCATATATAAGGAACTCGTATCCAGAATATATAAAGAACTTACAATTCAATAATAAAAAGACAAATAACCCTATTTAAAATGGGCAAAAGATGTGAATAGACATCCTTCCAAAGAAGACACACAAAAGGTCAATAAGCACATAAAAGATATTCAACCATCACTAGCCATGACAGAAATGCAAACCAAAGCCAGGGATCCCACTTCACAGCCCCCGGGACTGCAGTGATCAGAAAGACAGCAGAAACAAGTGTTGGCGACGATGTACAGAAATTGGAACTCTCTCCGTTCCAACTGGAACCCACTATGCTATGGCGGGAATGTGAAGTGGTGTGGCCTCTTGGAAAAACAGTCTGGCAGTTTCTCAAAAAGGTAACCACAGAGTTACCATATGACCCAGCAATTCCACTCTTAGGTACTTACCCAAGAGAGTTGAATACACATGTCCACATAAAAACTTGTATGTACATTTTTTTCATAGTGTCATCATTCATAATAGCCCCAAAGTGGAAACAATTCGGATTAGTGGCACTGATAAATAGATAAACAAAACGTGGCGTATCCACACAATGGAATACTATTCAGTCACGCAAAGGAATGAAGTACTGATAGATGCTACAAAATAGATGAACCTTAAGAACACCATGCTAAGTAAAAGAAGCCAGTAACGAAAACATCACGTATAATATGATTTCTTTTACATGAAATGGTCGGAACAAGCAAACCCATGGAGACATGTTTGTCTATAGATGAGTGGTTGTCTAGGGTGGAGGGGAGGAGGGAGTGAGGACTATTATCCTGATTGGATTCATTCACATTGTATGCCTCTATCAGAACACCATGTGTACTATTATGTACCCATAATAATTTAAAAAAAATTTTTTCAAGTGCTATGTATATTTCAGAGCCTCAGAATACTAACTTTGAAAAGAACAATCCACCAAGTATTTTTCTCTGGCCCTTTACTCAGCTTACACAGTTCTAAAGGGAAATTGTTTCCAAACTTTTTTTCTACCTCTCCAAATTAAGATAGAAAAGTAACAACAGTGAAATCTGCCAACTGGCAATAATCATCTGCAATAAGCAAACAGATTACACTTATGCAGATTCTTTAATATACTAATGATTTAATGGTCAGCAGCCATTAACACAACAAAAAGGCATCTGTTTATGCTACAAAAAGATAAATTATGCTGGTAAGTAAGTTTAACACTCTAAGGCTAATAAGGATAGTTAAATAAAACATGAAGGTCAAAACAATTAGTCTGTTTTAGTTGGAAGAAGGCAGAGAAGAAAACTACTAATATCAAAAACTACAAACACCTCAAGTAAAACACTGACAATTTTAAGTAGTAAAGAGAAAAAAAGGAAATATCTCAAAATTACACAACACTAAATCAAATAATCTCTCTAAAGAAACACAAAAACTAACTGTATCCATAATGATCAAGAGGAAACGACCCTAAGAAATATTTCCAGGAAGTTGCTAAGTCAGCGTACGAAAAAGAAAAGGAAGAAGAGCAAAGGAGTCTTTGGGCTTTCCGAATGCCAAACACTCATCTTAGACATGCCACGAAGAGTGCAGGCGTCTCAGGTATGTCACCTGAGAAGGACCAATGATTCAACTACCCCAAGAACTAAGTAGTTTCCCTGAGCTGCTGCTTCATTATATTGACAGAATTTGTCTATTTGATGGTTCAGACAATAAAGAGTATGATGCCATCTTTCATTTTCCACCCCAGACCCTCCCAAAAATAATACATTACGTACAAAAAAATTTTCCACTCGAAATTCATAAGTATATGGCTTTAAGGAGACAGACAGCCGTTCTTCAGAAGCTGGGGAGAATCCCACGGAGAACCAGCAATGCAGAGAAGGTGGGGGCTCCTGCGTCCACTTCAACTCCCACACAAAGAACACTGACTGCTTGCTGTAGATACGCTGCAAAGAGAGTGGCTGTCATTGTACACACAGTACCACAAACCTCGGAGATGAAACAAACGCTGCAGCGAAACAGCACACTTCATGCAAAGGGAAGGCAGGACGGAGGTATCCCCGACCGCGCTGCCCTGCTGTCCTGCAGTGCTCACCACCACCCTGGCTCCTCCTGCCTGGCCCTGCTCAGGCAGAAGACTGCACAAAACTGGTATAAAGGTTTTAATTTGTTATGATTCCATAAGCTTCACAGCACAGGGGATCATAAAAAAGAAGCTTAAAGAATATTTATTAATTTACATATGGAATATCCCATACATCTCCAAAACAGGGGAAAATGTCATCAACCAATTAAAAAGTACATCTTATCCAGGTGTGGTGGCTCACACCTATAATCCCAGCACTTTGGGAGGCAGAGGTGGGAGGACTGCTTGAGGCCAGGAGTTTGAGACCAGCAGGGCAACAGCAAGATCCCATCTCTATGAAAATTAAAAAAAAAAAAAAAAATTAGCCAGGCATGGTGGTGCACACCTATAGTCCCAGCTACTCAGGAGGCCGAGGCAGGAGGATCACTTGAGCCCAGGAGTTGAGGTTGCTGTGAGCTGTGATGACGCCACGGCACTCTAGCCAGGGCAACAGAGTGAGACTCTGTCTCAGGTAGATATATACATAGATAGATAAACAGACAGATCGATAGACAGGGCGTCTTTACATCCATGCCAATCATTTTATATTTAACATTAAGTTAATTTAGGAACTAGCACAACCTAACATATGGACCAAACACCACTGAGACACATAAAGTCCACACCTATAAATATAGTGGCAGGATCAGGTTAGATTTGAAAGTAGTCAAGTACTGGTGGGGAAAAATCCTTTGAAAATGCTAAAGACATAAGTGTCGATTAAGAAAACCTTTGATCTTCTTTGACTCAGGATTTACTATCTAAAAACACACGTGAAAAACAGACACAAAAACCAAGGTCGGGATTGAGCCAGGCAGCATGGCCATGAACATGACTCCTTACAAAGCTCCACCAACACAAGAGTTCTTCCTTTTGGCACAGGCAGGCATTTAATTATAGGCAGAACGGACCAGTCTCCATTTCCTATGAGTGATGGTGTCCATGCAACCAACAGCAGATTCAAACACAAGCTTGTATTTGCATAAATTTATGCATAGAGTAGGAAAAGTTTAAGATCTAATTCTAAAAACATAGGTATCAATCTATTTCCTAATCCATCCTGCCACTCAGCCCACAATAAGCCCACGTACTCCACAAGTCAAACAGGAACGCGCGTGTCGCAGCAAGCACTGCTCTAGCGTGAGAGCAGTCTTACAGGTATTGATACAGGAGCTTTTGCTGACTGGCAGTGAGACTGTTCTCTGTATCTAAAGGCTAAGTCTCAAAACACACTGTGTCACTTTCATCAAAACACTACGGCTACTACACCTTACCCTCCAGTTCTCTGTTGAGAAGCTGATGCTCGGGTCTAGAAAGTGGTTACCTGCTGGGATTGCGTGTTCAGTGGTATTAGCTGCAGGTCGGTGCCATCCCCAGTATCGACAAGGTTACTATCTGACAGCTGAAAGTCAAGTTCTGACAAATTCTGGACACAAACTTGAACATATTTCCTAAAGCAGAAAAACAAGAAATGTGATTTTGACATTTTAAAACTTTATTAAATATATTTTAGCTATGTTAAGGAGACCCTCTCTAATGGGAATCAAAAAAGTGACAAGGCAAAATACGAGTCAGCTGTTGCAGACGTTTCTACTTTTGATTTCACATGAAAACAGCAAATCTTCTTAAACAAGCTGTTTCTGTGGGAAATCAAAACTATTCTGTTTCTGACACAGGATTATTAAATGATTATAACTGATCATGCTAAACACATGCTAGACTGCGATGAATTATGTAGGAGGGAGCAGTGATTACTCTCCATCACAAAAAGTAATGATTACTTGTTGAAAAACTGCAGGGCTCACCTTAATTACCGTTACAGGCAGAGTTTTAAAAAATAATTCCTTAATAAAGCACCTCAGATTGTTTTAGAGATTACTGATATTTTTAACCATTAAGACCTACAGTTCTCTTGCTGTGATTTGAAGGGAAAAAGAGCTGCTAGTATAATATTCCATTCTGAATGTGGTTCTGACATTTGTGTTTCCAAATTATCCAACCGTCGTCAACGGATGAAAACAAAAGGGAACGAACGTGACGGCGAGAGGCCAGGCCAGTACCCCGAGCCTCTAGGGTCATCACCAGGGTGGGACAACTAGACACCATGGGTCTGCCGACGCAGTGAAACAGGAAGCATTCAACACCACCTCTAAACTTTCTTGTTCAAAACCGAATCGGAGTCTAATCGAGTCTCTAGTGCAGGTGTTCTCAACTGGGACAATTTGACCTGTACCAGGGGACACTGGACATTGTCTACAGACATCTGTGGCTGTCACAACTGGGGGTGAGGAGTGCTCCTGAGACCTAGTGGGAGAGCCCAAGGGTGCTGCCCAACACCCTACAGTGCTCAGGACGGCCCCTCAACAGGAACCATCCAGCCCAGGATGTCAGCAGTGCTGAGGCTGAAAAAGCCTGCTCTACAGGTTAACTAGCAATTGGCAAGAGACACAAGGACAGGGGAACTAGTTAAACCCATGAAGACGCAACCAGCCAAATCCAGAATGGCAGAACTTCCAGAGGACAACTGACCTGTGTGTGTCAACAAGTCAATGGCTTAAAAAACAGGGAAAGGCCAGGCGCGGTGGCTCACGCCTGTAATCCTAGCTCTCTGGGAGGCCAAAGCGGGCAGATCGTTTGAGCTCAGGAGTTCAAGACCAGCCTGAGCAAGAGCGAGACCCCGTCTCTACTAAAAATAGAAAGAAATGATCTGGATAACTAAAAATATACAGAAAAAATTAGCCAGCCATGGTGGCACATGCCTGTGGTCCCAGCGACTCAGGAGGCTGAGGCAGAAGGATCGCTTGAGCCCAGGAGTTTGAGGTTGCTGTGAGCTAGGCTGACGCCACGGCACTCACTCTAGCCAGGGCGACAGAGTGAGACTCTGTTTCAAAAAAAAAAAAAAAAAAAAAAAAACAGGGAAAGAGGCACAAAAAGAGATCTAGTAGTGAAATGGAGACTTTGTTTGGACCCTGAATCGCACAAAGCAACTGTGAAGAGTCACTTTTGAGACAGCTGGAAAATTCTGTATATGGACGGGACGTTACAGGACACCAGGGAATTACTGTGAGTTTTTATAGATGGACGATAGCATCGTGGCCGTGTGAGGAAATACCCTTAGTCATCTCTCAGGCCAAGCTTTGAACATGAACAGTTTCCACTTGGGAGAGTCCTGGGAAGGAAGCCAGGGCCTGCCCACCACACCTCCCTCACCGTGTTCCAGAGGACAGCAGGGAGTGCGTGGTCCTGAAGGGCACGCTGAAGGTCAGAGCGATGACGGTGGAGTAGATGGACCACGGGCAGTCAATGGACATCTGAGGAAGAAGCAGAGGACACACGCTCAGACCACCTGCCTGACGGATGGTGCAGCCACCACACCACCCGGCCACACCTGCAGCAGCTGCCCATCCCCTGGACATGTTACTGTGGCTTCACCACTCATTGTTCAGAAAGCAAAACCCTATCAAACATACACACGCACAAACCAGAAGCAGGAAGCTATGTTCACAGAAAAACAGACGCAGAACTGGCAGAATGTCCACAGGTCACCAGAAGGGTCTCCATGGCTACAGAGCACAGGTACCTTCAAAAGCAACAAACCCACCTCCTGTTCCCACACACGTGGGGCTGTGATGCCAGACGTGTTTTAATGTGCAGGAGGCTACGACAAAGTGCCTTAGTCACATACGCCCAGATGACACTAATCAATCAGTAACCATCCACAGTGAGAGGAACCATCCAAGCACTGAATCCATCTGAGGCCAACATGCGACTGGAAAGCAGTCGACGGGGGGGCGCCACGTGCACAAAGCTGCCCATTCCCTCAAGGGCCAGGGAGCAGGTCCCCAGCATCATCTCACTCCACACGGACGCATGAACGTGCAGAGCGTTCACGCCTCAGCGCTAAGTGCTCCTACCGCAGCCAGCGTCACCTTTGCTCAGGAACCTCTTTATGAGATAAGGGGAAGAGATTTTTTAATTCTTCAAGAACTGAAAATTAAAACATTATTCTTAGGTGTGGACCTGTCTGATAATTTTTTGCTGTGAAAACGTGGTTCTCCTTACCCTTTTACCCTACGGCTCTTGGCAAATACTGCAGCCCCGGACTGTTCAAAAGCGCCCTTGGACTTGCTCTCTCTGTTACAAGCCACGGTACACCTCAGAGAACACAATGCCAGCAACACAGTCTGAGACCAAACCACGTATCTCTCAGATAACTGTCAATAAACACCAGCACCAACGCCTAAAAATGACAGAGCTCCTTCCTGGCTAAGTCTGATGTGACATTTCAGTGGACAAAAGCTGAAGCACTCCACAACACACAACTCCCCTGGCCTGCTCACAGGCACACACAGACAGTGGCCCAGATTTAGCTCCCCTCACACCTAGGCTACCATGGTAGCTCTTGCGGTAAACTTCCCATCCTCTTGGCTGGGAACATTAGAGCCTGCCTGTGTGCCTGCAAGATGCCCCCTTTATCAAAGAAGGGGGATTCAAGGCACAAATGCTCGGGAGCTCAGCATCTCTGCCGCACTACCATTCACGGCAGGCAGGACAGGCGGACGCTGCCACTGCAGGCCCAGCTACTCCACAGCCCCTCCTCACTTTGTGGTCTGTGGTGACCATGAAGGGGCCAGTCTTCTGCTTGTCCTTATGCTTCCAATGGGGTTCCAGCATCCCCAGAAGGTCACTCTCCCCTCTGGGTGCTGGGGCTGAAGGTGAAGAGAGAACTTCCAGTTCAAATTCAATCATGTGATATGCAGGCACCACGGGCAGACTGATGCTTGTGACCTTGTCGGAGGACTGAATTCGGAGAAATGCGTTGGAAGACTGTTCTACGAAAGACAGAAAAAGTCACTGCAAACATGTTCCCTCTGTTTCATTTTTCCGTTCACTTCTAGCAGGCGATGGGCCCAGCAGCGGGGTTGCAGCCGAACTCCCCCTGCTCCTCTGCACGTGGAAGGACTACGGTGGAGGCAAAGGCAGGAAAACCCAGGAACGAACCCTCAGGACCGAGAGCCACAGCACAGCGGGCAGAGCCCAGACAGCTGTCACTGCACTCGATCTGAAGATAGCGCAAGGGCACTCCCCACGTGGCCCACCCATGTCCTACGTGTGCCTGCAGATGTCCCCCCTCCCACTGTACACCATCAGCAGATCAACAGCCCCCAGAAAGGGAGCAGGGTCTTTCCATTCCTCGTGGCCAGGGACTGGGGGGCAATGCAAGTTTTCCAGGGCTTCCAACCAGTGGAGTGGGGCGGGGTGGACAGAGGCTGGTGGGGCATCAGGCACGGAGCAGGGGCCCACCAGTGACAGGGCTCCCCATGTCCTTAGCCAGAGCAGCACCGCCTGGCCACTCGGCGGTACACCACTCCCTGTCCACTCCCCTTGAGGGAAACAGCCAGCCCAGGCGCCAGGCCCCAGGGTGCGCACAAAACCTGACTCCAGACACCACCGGAGGACAGCACAGGGCACAGAGAGGTGTTAGGCCACGCTCACAGGTGGCAGGCAGCAACACCAGGCTCATTTTAACACCCTCACAGTGTGTGACAAAGCCGAGGGTCCTCCTATGCTACTGCCTCACGACCAGGAGGCTGGTGCCTTACCTCTTGTGTTAGAATAGATCACGGCTCTGTTCTCTGCCTGACACAGAATGAGCATGGCTTCCGCGTTGCTCAGTTGGAGGCTGTCCCCATTTTTTATTGTATAATGGCCAGTAGTGACAGTGAACTTGACCTTCTGAGGAATACCTGCCAAAAGGCTATCTAAAGGGAAAAAGACAGCAATTAGCATCACTACCAACCAGAAATATTAACAGTAATTCAGTGCCTACTGCAAGGTTCAGGGGTACTCTGTTTCTTTTACAACAAAAAGATTTGTTCATTTTGGATACTACATGAATTCGCTCAATTCCATTCCCTTTGCCCTAACTTTTAATCTCAACGATGTGTCCCGCAGGGTTGAGGGGGAACCTTACTGGGAACGAAAGTACTCTATGAGTCGAGGGGGTCTCATCCTCACCCTGGTTTAGAGAACTAGGGATTATGATGGCAACTATGTCTCTTAGGGTCACAAGATTTACTTGCCGATAAGTGAGTGAGAGAGGATCAGATACCGAGGCTTAAGACAGGACTGAAAGGAGACTCCAAAGTGCTGGTGCACTCGGGGTTTCCTCGGGCCTGTTCAGTTCAGGCTGCAGGCTCCTTGGTTCAGAAGCCATCCACAATAGGGACGGCCCCCCCTTACTCCCAGACAGACATGGAGGGGCGGGAACGGGCTGAGGTTTCTGAGAATCCGAGGGGGCAGGGACAGGGCGCGAGCGCAGCACTGCAGTTGCCAGAAGGGCAGGTCGCACTCAGCTGAGTCCTGCTTTTGTCACAAACGTCCTCCAACGGAAGGATCATCTGAGAGACTGACTGCTGTGTCAGCATCTTAGGGCCTTTCCTGGTGGCCAGGGGGAAGTTTGGATGCAGAAAAATAGGGAGAATGGGGAGATTAAGTAGAAAAAAATGCTTTTCTGGACTTTTTTCCCCAAATGGAAGAAACAAGCAAGTACACACATCATTCCCAACCTAAACAACTCAGACATCCACTCGTTAGTGTCTAATTGCCACGTGGTCTTCAATCATTGTTTGCACTGATTCCTCCTAACCTCAGAACTCATCAGAAAGGACAGCAGCTTTGAATTTCCCAAATGCCATGCCTGAAGGTCAAGTCTAATGGACACTCTCATGGAAACACTTCCAATCTGAGAAGAATAACTAAACCTAGTATTTAGATTTTGAAATGGACCTCTAAGCAAGAAATTATATGTATTTATTAAACTCTCTGCAGCAGACATTAGCTGATACTTGGTTAATGTGATACTGTAAAACATGTATTTGGTCTTCAACCCCATTTCCTGCCACACTAACCCTAAAATCCTTAGGATCTCTACAGTCATGTCTTTTTGTATGCTAATGAGCTGACTGGTTGCTTCAGGATGGGGGCTGGTCAGAGGAAAGACCAAGGTAGGACTAGATGGTTAAGGCATTCAGCCCACCCACCGTGGAATCTCCAGGGAAGGGGAGAGGGGCTGGATCACCAAGGACCAACGGTTTAATCAATCATGCCTACGTAATGAAGTCTCACAGAAGGCCCAAGAGGACGGTATGTGGAAAGCTTCCAGCTAGCTGAGCACATGATCAGGGATGGAGGTTCCTGGAGGGTGGCTTGCTCAGGGAGGGCATGGAAGCTCCGATCCCTTCCCCCACACTGTGCTCTATGCATCTCTTCATCTGTATCCTTTACAACATAATATAATATAATATATCAGTAAATACGCTTCCCTGTGTACTGTGCGCCACTCTAGCAAATTAATCAAACTCAAGGAGGGGGTTGTGGGAACCCCAATTTCTAGCTCATCAGAAGCACAGGCAAAACAACCTGGGGCTTGGCATTGGTACTGCGGGGAGGGACGGACTGTGGGACTGAGTCCCCAGCCTGTGGGATCCGACACTACCTCCAAGTAGACTGTGTCGGAACTGACTGGAGGACACCCAGCTGGTGTCCACTGCAGAACTGATCACTTGCTTGCCGGCGGGAGAAATCCCCGCACATTCGATCACAGACTGTGTTGATTGTTGTGTTGCGTGAAAGAACAGAAAAAATACTTCTGAGTTTCCTTTTTCTACTCTCACAGCTAATTTCTCTATTTTTCTTCTTTTTGGATACACCGTATTTATTAAACACGAAAACAACTATAGTAAAGCAAGTATTCAGAGGAACAAAAGAGGCTTAGTCAGTCAATTTCCCAGGCAAAATTTCCATTAAGTTACCCAAAATGGCTCTTAAAGGCAAACACAACTAAAAACCACTAGAACATTTTAGAAAGTCCTCTAAGACCACCGCCACTGTGGCCAGGGACTGCACTCACCGGCCAGAGGCTCCACGTGCAGCTGGGGCTCCTGAGAGTACACGTCGTACTGCACGACCGGGTAGATGTGAGGAAGGACAAAGCACACGGGGCCCACGGAGGCACACAGCTGCCTGAGCGTGTACGTCCCCGGCTCCCTGGCCTAGGGTCAGAATCAGGCATTTGAAAAGATGTCACACAATTAGGAGCCTCCTAAGGCAGAGCTGCGCCATGATCTCCCTGCAACACAGAATGGCTGTATATCTCCCTCCTGCACCTCCTGCTCGTGTGCCTGCACTTGGGCTGCTCAAAAAGGCCCTCAGAATCTCTCAATCTATGATTCTCTGAGTAACCGACGCTTAAATTTGACTTTACACTCCTAACGAGGTATTTTCAACTTAATGAACTTTATTTGTGGCATTTTCTTTGAAGGGTATTTAGTGGAGACATTCAGCATGAGATTTAAGACCTGCTGTAAGAATAGACCAAAAACACAGGTGGCAGACGGCTGTACTTTCCACAGGCCAAATCCTCTTGAACTAGTGGGACGTACATGCTATGCTGCATCAGAGGAAAATTTATGTCAGAGTGGGTCAGAAGCAATGGTTTTGACATCCAGGCAGCCACAAAAGGAAAACAAGGTTTAACATCAAAGTGTACCACCTTCTTTGAAATCTCACTTTAACCAACGAGGGTGTATTTTAATACACAGGGGAAAAAGCTAACTACATCCAATAATCCAATTAGTTAAAAAGCAAATTGAATCTGAAAATATTTATGTTAAGAACTTTGCTCAGAATTTATCAACTGCCATAAAATTATACGAATACAACATAAAATGTCAGTATATTTTGCTTTAAGGATAATGACAAAAACAGGGTTGATAGAACGGAGGACTCTGTCTCAATTCTCACCGCACTTCAGACCAGTCCTTGTGAGCTCGATGGCCCTTCTTTGTCAATTAGGAAGTGAACTTCCCAATCTGAACACATACCTGAGTCCTGAACGTTATCTTGTTGGGCCCTGGTTCCAGAGTCACGTTGCTACACCTTAGCATGTGGGCCCCTTCTTCCAGGGCCACCCCTGAGGGTGTCTCTAGAGAAGAGCTGCTCTCCTGCCTTCTCAGAAGCATGTGAACATTTCTGCAAATAATCCCTGTTGTGTTCAAGGAATTATCAGAAGGGCTTCTCTCAAACATCTCATACAACTCCAGTGCAGGTAAGCTGTTCTGGGATGCAGGGAAAGATGAGGGTTCAGTTGGGAAGTTAATAATCCCATTGGATGTCTTGTGCTTGGTAAGCCACTCAGCCGTCTTCCGGTAACTGTTTTTCTCGATGCTGAAGTGGACGTTGACAGCAATCTGCTCCACGTGAACAGGCACAGGCATCTGACTGCACACAGTTATCTCAACAGACAAAATGCCACCGACGTGGACCACGGCATTGGAAGGGTCAAAATGGAGATCTCTCAGTTGTGCAAAGGAATGCATAGGTAGCACAATTTTGTGACCTGTAAATACATATTACCAGACCTTACTCACATCTTACGACTGTGATGGAGGGCGCAGGCCTTGGACAAGGTAAGGTCACCCGGCACACACGCAACAAGGAAGCAAGGAGCAGTGACACGCAAAAGAGATATTCCTACTGCCATCTCCACCCCCCCCAAAAAGCTATTTGGTCAAAAGCAAGATATAAACAAATACCTAGATAATTTCTAGAAATCATAAAATCTATAGAAATTAAGGTTCCCAAGTCTGCTTTGACAAACCTAAAAGAAATACAAGTCAAATAACTCTTTATCTAACTAAAATTTGTAAATAGTCCAACTCCTAGAATTCTTTTCAAGAGATTCCAATACTTCCCACCTACTGAAAGAAATTTTCAAGTAAAGATGCCCAAGCGCCCACTGTGCATGGGGAGACGACGCTAGGTGTGCGCCAGCCTGAGCAGTCAGCCAGTGGAGCAAGGGCCCTGCTGTGCCCAGCAGCGCCACAGCCTGCTCTGCCGCCACCATGGCAGGGGCTGGGGACGGCTCTCACCCCTGCCCTCTCCGTCTCTCACCTTCTTTCTATAAGCACCTTGGTTATGACTAGAAAATCCACAAGGCTGCAGAACTGCCCAGTTAAGCACTCACTAAACATCCATCAACCAAAGCACTTGCTGAGACTGGCACCATAAGGACATGAGAACACTAAACAATTTTGGAATCTCTTATTCATATAGAGATACTGACGGACACTGGCAGGAAAATCATCACTCAAGTAGTGTCACACTGAGCAGCTGACGTGGCCATGGTTCCACCACCTGTCAGTGTAGGCATGATGAAGAATCTAGAAACTCAACTGAAGCCATGATTCTCCTGAAACCTCCCACCACGTGGCTCTACACACCCGAGCAGTCATGACCATATAAACCTGAAGCTAACATTTTGGAAAAACTGGCTTTCAAACAGTAACTGCTATGGACTAAACTGTGTTCCTCCAATGTTCATACGGTGAAGCCCTCACCCCCAATGTGACGTTATTTGGAGATGGGGACTTTGGGAGGTGATTAGGGTTAGACAAGGTCCTGAGGGTGGGGCCCTCGTGGTGCACCTTATAAGAAAAGACATCAGAGAGCTTGCTCTCTTCCTTCCCACCATGTGAGGACACCATGACAAGCCAGGAAGAGGGCCCTCACCCTGCCAGTACCGCGATCTCAGATTTCCAGCCTCCAGAACTGTGAAAAATAAATGCTCACTGATTAAGCCACACAGTCTATGGTAATTTGTTATGTCAGCCCGAGTAGAGTAATGTCATAACTATTTTAAGTAAGTACTGTTCTTGGTAAACTACACATGAGGAGCTAAACGTCACAATAAATTTAACCTTACCACACAGCATCATCTCTAAAGTATATTTTCCAAAACATTAAACCTGAATCTAAGCCTTTCAGATCTAACCTCCACTGAGATGTCCTGGTGAGGAAACACTGACGACTCCAGAAGGCGGGCCAGGCTAGGAGACAACTGGCCAACGTGCGCGGCAACACAAAGAAATGAAGTCCTGACGCATGCTACAGCAGGGAAGAGCCTGGAAACATCACGGTAAGTCGAAGACGCCAGTCACAACACAAAGATCACATATCGTATGATTTGTGAAAGTTGTCAGAATCAAAAAAAACTCTTGACAAACAGAGCCAGAGAAGGCCATGAAGGGAAGGTTCTCACGCATGTATGCCTGGTAACAAAAACTATCACAAAAGATTCCGCAAAAACTACAACCTTGCGCAAAGGCCATTGCAACTTTACACACAAAAAATACTTCTTCGAAGACACTGGCCCAGAACTTCCTGTCCATCCCTGTCTGGTGCCACCCTTTTTGATCTTCGTAGCCAAGGATAATTATTTCAAAACAATTATGTGATCCTCATTTTTCCTTTAAAAACCTTTTTCTTCCTTTAGCTCCCTGAATATGCACATAATTTACTACTGCATGTGTGTCCCCACTGCAATGCCCTATTCCCCAATAAACAGCATTTTCTTTAGAGAGCCTCTCCATTTGTTATTAGGTTGACAGAGTTTTCAGGTTGAGCATCCCTTATCCAAAAAGCTTGGGACAAAAGAGTTTCAAATTTCGGGGTTTTTTGGATTTTAGAATATGTGCATCCTATTTACCAGTTGAGCATCCCTAATCCAAAAATCTGAAAGGCTCCAACGAGCTTTTCCTTTGAGCACGTCAGTACTCAAAAAATTTCAGATTTTCAACCATTTCAGATTTCCAAATTAGGGATATCCAACCTGTATTTATGTGAAACATCCAGACGAGGTATCTACAGTGACAGAAATAGATCAGTGGTTGCCAGGGGCTGAGAGTAGGTGAAGAATGAGTATGGCGTTTCTTTTGGGAGTTATAAATATATCCTGGCCACAGCAATTAGGCAAGAGAAAGAAATAAAGGGCATCCAAATTGGAAAGGAAGAAGTCAAATCTGCCTCACTCGCAGATAACATGATCTTATATCTAGAAAAACTTAAAAACTTCACCAAAAAACTGTTAGAACTGAAAAACGAATTCACTAAAGTTGCAGGATACAAAATCAACGTAGAAAAATCAGTAGTATTTACATAAACAAACAGTGAACAATCTGAAAAAGAAATCAAGAAAGCAATCCCACTTACAATAGCTACAAAAAATATAAAATACATAGGAATAAATCTAATCAAAGAAGTGAAAGATCTATGCAATGAAAATCATGAAATTCCGATGAAAAAAACTGAAGAGGACACAAAAAAATAAAAAAATAAGAAGATATTCCATGCTCATGGATTGGAAGAATTAATATTGTTAAAATGACAAACTACCCAAAATAATTTATGGATTCAATGCAATACTTATCAAAATACCAATGACACTCTTTTCACAGAAATAGGAAAAAAAAAACAAAAACCTCCTAAAATTTATATGGAATCTTGCACAAAAGATCCTGAATAGCCAAAGCCACCCTGAGCAAAAAGAACAAAGCTGGAGGCATCACACCACCTGACTTCAAAATTTACTACAAAGCTACAGCAACCAAAACAGCATAGTACCGGCATAAAAACAGACACACAGACCAATGTAACAATAAAAAGCCCCAAAATAAATCCACACATTTACAGTCAATTCATTTCCAATAAAGGTGTCAAGAACATACATTGGGGAAAGGACAGTGTCTTCAATAAATGGTGTTGGAAAAACTGGATATCCACATGCAGAAGAATGAAACTAGATGCCCACCTCTAACCATATACAAAAATCAAATCAAAATCGATTAAAGACTTAAATCTAAGACCTGAAACTATGAAACTACTAGAAAAAAACATTAGGGAAACACTCCAGGACATTGATCCAGGCAAAGATTTTTTGTGTAAGACCTCAAAACCACAGGCAACAAAGCAAAAATAGACAACTGGGATCACAACGAGCTGAAAAGCTTCTGGACAGCAAAGGAAACAATCAACAAAAGGAAGAGACAACCCACAGAGGGGGAGAAAACATTTACAAACTATCCATCTGACGAGGGATTAATAACCACAATAAAGTGCTCAAATAAGTCAATAAAAAAAATCCAATTAAAAATGGGCAAAAGATCTCAATGGACATTTCTCAAAAGAAGACATACAAATGGCCAACAGGTATATGAAAAAATGCTCAACATTATTAGTCATCAGAGAAATGCAGATCAAAACTACAGTGAGATATCACCTCACCCCACTTAAAATGGCTTTTATCAAAAAAGCAATAGCAGATGCTGGTGAGGATGTGGAAAAAGGGGAACCCTCACACACTTTTGGTAGTAATGTAAATCAGTACAGCCACTATGGACGACAGTGTGGAGGTTCCTCAAAAAACTAAAAATAGAACAGCCATATCATTCAGCAATCCCACTACTGGGTATACATCCAAATGAATGGAAATCTACATATCAAAGAGATATTTGCGCTCGCGTGTTTACTGCAGCACTATGCACAATAGCCAAAATATGGAATCAACCTAAGTGCCCAACAATGGATGAATGGATAAAGAAAATGTGATACACATACACAATGGAATACTATTCAGCCATCAAAAAGAATGAAATCCTGTCATTTATAGCAAGATGGATGGAACTGGAAGGCACTAAATTAAGTGAAATAAGCCAAATATATAAAGATAAATATCACATGTTCTCACTCCATGTGGGAGCTAAAAAGAAGGACTTCGTGAAGACAGAGAGTGGAATGGAGGTTACCAGAGGCTGGGAAGGGGAGAGGGGAGGGAGAGAAGAAGAAGGTGTAAGGAATATACATGCATTTATTACCACTGAATTCTACACCTAAAAATAGTACAGCTAGCAAATTAGGCATGTAATTTTACCTCAATAAAAATAAATAAATATGTTCTAAAATTGACTGTGGTGATGACTGCACACATCTGTGAATATACCAAAACCACTGAATCGCACACTTCAAATGAATGAACTACATGGCATTTGAATTCTATCTCAATACAGCTGTTATATTTACAATAAAAGTCACTGTCTTGGCCGGGCACGGTGGCTCACGACTGTAATCTTAGCACTCTGGGAGGCCAAGGCGGGCGGATTGTTTGAGCTC